CAGACATCGTGCCTTCCTGTATACTTCTGCTGGCTCTCTACGGCTCTGCTCAACAGCTGTGCTGCTGGGCACAAAGTATGCTCTGGGAAGGCACCAGCAGCTGAATGGACTATGGCAGCCAGCTAAAGGCATGGGACCATCTGCACCTCTTCAGCCGGCTGCTGGGCTGGGCACAAGCCTAACTTTATGTGGAATAACTCTGCCAATGGAAAGAAGGCTTCTGTTGTCATAGTAGCTTCCAACATGGATACCCTCAATGTTCTGCTGGCAAACTGGACTTCTGGTGGCCAAACTTTGGAGTTGTAGGCTACAGCTGAGCCGTTTAGGGATTATCTTCATTTCAGACTCCATTTGAGAATACCTTAAGACTTGCCCGTACCTGCAGTCCCATCTGTATGTAAAACTCCTAAGTAGAACGTCCTGTTGCCTTTAACTCAAGTTGCCTCACTCAAGGTGGGTACAGAATAGCAGCGTCAGCACGTTTGCTCTGTATAGTCAAGTGATGTTTTACATAGTGGCTGTTCTTATTTGTACTGGGCTAGTGAGTACCTATAACTCTGCAGTGAAGATGCACCCTTTCTAGACACAACTGAAATATGAAGGTAGGTAATTAGTTAATAGCGGATATTAATAAATGTACGACACAAAGAGATACTTGTCCCTGGGCTGCTGCTGGTACACTCTGAGGCTGAGCAGCTTCAATAACTTGTGACATAACAACAGCGCTTCACACATACAGTATAAGCGTATACAATGGCTTTCATCCAAAGACCTTAACACTTTGCAAATGTGGGGAAATATCATCCCACAACCTCCCTCCCTTTACATATAGGAAAGCTAAGATCTGTCTTCCACAGGGTTCTGGTACTGATTTAACAGAATTGGTGCAGGAACCAAAGTAGTTAAAAATCCATGCAGTGTTCTACCCTAGGCATTCTTAAATCAGTTTAGACTACCTAGCTTTCAGTTACTATTTCAGCTTAAGACACTCCAATTGACTGAAGGATGTCCACATTCAATGATCACACTGATTCAAACCAGCACAGTTTAAATGGTACTTAAATTGTGCACCAACAAGATCTGCAGCACAGAAAGGCTATTTGACTTGCCAAGTCCCCTGATGCATTTTCCAGACTACTAGAGGTGAAATAACCATTGACAATGGCAGATAATTACTGTTCAATGACTTCATTGTAACAAGTGTCTCAATTTCCCCTGCTCCTTGTTTTTACTAAGGTTTAGAAACAGCAGGGCAGGGTAAAACTTTCACCAAGTGAAAGTTACAATAGTGAAATTTGGCAATCTGTCCTCATGGCTAAAACTAAGTCGTTCTAGATCTTCAGTGGCTACAGAACTGTTGGTTCTTTTGTAACTGCTCAGGAGATTTTTTCTTCCTCTCTAGACAAATGATTCTCATAATGTGGCCTCCTGGGCTGCATTATCCTTTCAAGGGTGCCATGGGGTGCCACTCAATGTTAGCACTGGTTGGTGTGCAAAAATGATTCACAACATAAACCCCAAAATTTCAAGTAGGAAGTCATAGTGTCAAAAACATTCTAACCTGTTGCGGCCTTCCTGAGCTCTTTTGCAATAGAATAATTGCTCTATTATTTTTATGTAGTCAAAAAAGAGTAAAAACTAAGAGCTGGCACTTCCCAAGGGGTGCCTTGAGTCGAATGAGGGGTGTCTTTAGTTTAAAAAGGCTGAAAAGCACTGCTCTATACCATATTCATGAGGGCTGGAATTTTGTGGCCTGACTTACGTGCCGATGTGAAATTTCAGCTGGAATAATGCCAGACTTAACAGACCCGCTCTAACTGCCTTTTTACAGGAAACTTATGCTCTTGGAAAGTGCCACACTGGTAACCCTAGAAGCAGAAGTACTTCATCACAGATACAGCACTCAGTCACTTTGACTGAAAACTAGCATGCCTAGTATGGAAGGACCATCTGTTTGGGTAAGGAACAGATCAGGCTTTGTGCTTTTCCAGGGCAGGAACTCAGCATGCTGCAGTTTCATCATCTGAGATGTTGCATGACTTTGACTCCTATTTAAATCAGCAAATGTGAAGGTTATGGTGTGCCACAGAGGAGATACTCAGCATCTTTCAGGGTCAGTCCCTCAGTCCTCAGCTTCTCTGCTAAGGAAATCATCATTTACTAGTGTCATTTGTGGCAGTGGGGTCTTGTGTTATGGATACACAAGCCCTGGGACTCCAATCCACTGGCACTCTCTCAATTATTCCAGCATAGTGGGGCTAGGAAATGAGCAGGTTATAAGTATGTAATTAAAGAAGACATGTGCAAATGCAGCTTACTTCATTTGGTGTCCCCGTGCTCCTAACAGGGCTGATTCTATTTATCAGTACATTTGTCATAAGATTGTCACAGTACCAGACATGTCATACACATCAGGGAAACTTCAACTCTAACCACAGAAGAAAATGTACTTACTCAGCTTGGGGAAAACCCCTCATGTTTACTTGTGCTGTCAACTGGCCTTTTAAAGCAGTGTGATCTACTTGGAAACAGACCTCTAGACTTAATGTGCTTCACTGTTCTATATGAATCTGTCCTTCCAGGTTGTTATGTACTCATTTAAATTCTGTCACTAAACTTTTAAGGAAAAGCATATGAAAATCACATTATATTGCTTATTTTGTTTTTGTTCATATTTTATTCTTTTTGTGATTTTTTGTTACATAATATTTTATTTATATGCTTATAACTCTGATGCTTACGCAATTCTTTATAAACACCATTATTATGTCATATAATCTTACATATTACATTAAATTATATTTTTTCCTGTAGTTAGGATTTTTTTTCATTTAGCAAGACAGGCCATTCTAGGGCAGATCTGTATTCAAAACCCTAACTAGTATGAGATTTTTATTTAGGTGACAAAACAATTCTAGATTTCAGGCAAAAATTTCAAATGCATCTAGATAGCTTAGGAACCTAAATTGTATATTCAACAATATCTAAGTGACTTAGGAAACTAAGTCACAATTTAATTCAATAGGCACTTTAGAAAATTTTACTTTTACAAGTCCATTAAAGTACCCAGCACTGCATTTTTAGGGCACTTAGAGTGGCTCAGACATTGCTGCCAAAGCTGCATTGAGCTCCGAGTACCACTGCCAGTGTCAGCATGGTATTTATTGGTCATGCTCCAGCGCCAGGTGGTGCACGATACATGTTGGTTTATGCTGAATGAGAATTCTGGGATAAAAATATGAGTTCCCTGGAGAATGAACTTCTGTTTTGCTTCCTTCCTCCGTCTTACTCTGTTCACCTAACTCTACAAACAGAATCATACCTGTTCTGGATACCTTGCCTACTTTCCCAGGCACTCAAAGGCTAAATTCCTCTACCTGACTGATACAGGAATCCAGAGTAAATGGTAAAGAGATGACATGTGCAGAAGTTGACTCCAATTGAGCGGCTTTGCTAGCAGCCCCAGATTTGCTTGATCTGGCACTGCTATCTAATCTAATTTTATTTATATATTCATATCCACATAACTATTGGTCTCCTTATGTGCCATACTCGCATAAAAACGATCACTGTAAACTACCCAGTAGTTTATTCCCAAGCTATTCTGCTGACACATCTTAGATATTTGATTGTTAAGTACTCAGTCAATTTATTTTACTCATTTCTTGACACCTCACCACACACTGCATGCTCCTAGTACTCTCTGCGACAAAGGAATTTAACATACAAAACATATGTACTTTATGCTTATTCTTGTGATCCTGCCTAACCCCCCAAGTAATTTCTGCACATTATTTTAGAACACTTTTAAAAATATGTATTCCTAAACAGGATGCATCACTTCAGTTTCATAAAATTTCCCTCTGTTCTCTACACTTACATTAGTCACATTTCAATAAAGCATTTAGCTAAACAGTGTTAGCCTTCTTGCCTAGGAACAGAAATTACACATACACAGGTATAAACAATCAGAAACTGGTTCAAATCTGTAACACAACAGAAGTTCAGTGCACATAAACTGCTTTCAAAATGGCTGAAACCAGTTTAAGATAAACTTGGATAGATGTAATATCAGACTTAACTGATTTAGGTTGAATTGGTTTATTGAACTTCTGGCCCAGATCTCCTCCAGATTCAAGTTAACTTACAGTCCCCCAGAATCCCAGGGTACTTTGCATTGCACCTTCCCTGCAAACCCCCCGCCTTGTAGGTGGATGTGGCCCAAGCTGTCTGCTCCAGCTAAGCAGGGAGGCATGGTCTAGTGTCGCCCCCCCTGCCCTTTGCCTTTTGGCCTGGGCCACTGCAGGCATATGGCTGCATTTCCAGAGTCAACAATCAATGTCTGTTCACTTGCTTATCTGTTCAATCTATGCAATTTAGACTAACCTGTGAAAATTGAACTGATTCAGCCTTGGGCTTTTTGACTGTCTGTGCTTAGCCCTTATGTTCAGAACCAATTTGATTCAATTAAAAATACCATAGTTTTCAGTGTCCAATTCATTTATGAGATTGTTTATTCTGGACTTGATACTCCTTCCCCTAAAAAAAAAAAAAAATCAATGGCCAAATTTCTGTTGTCTGGAATGGGAAAAGGCTCTCTGGGTACTATTTTGTAGCTTTCAAACAATGTTAAATACTTAAAAGATGATTCATCTACCAATGGGCTTTGGATGCTTAAAGGAACAATACAGATTAGAATTTAGAAAAAAATCAACTAAATCCTGAAGCCCTTAAGATTTCAAAGGGAGACCTGTCTGTGAGAATACAAAATAAGGACTTTGGATGATAAACCCAAATTGGATTTTCTTCATGGATTATTTGTATGTGTGACCTTGCTGAATATGATTTTCACAGACATTCCCACTCAGACCAGTTCTAAAAATAGATATTATTGCTTATTTTCAATACACCTACAGTATATCTTATAGCTTACAGCATAACAATGAAAAAACACATAATAACCTTGCTGCAGATGAAACCTTAATAATATAATTACTTACGTTTCAAAATGTTCCTCTGTTCCAATTCTTCAGCAGTTGGTCTCTGACTCAGTCGTCTGCGAAAAAAGTCCAGGATCAGTTTTTGGACCATATCACATCATCCTCTGTTCAATGAATTCATGAGTCACTTTGTAGCAAAGCAGGTTGAGAGCAAGGTAGTGACATTGTAGCATTATATATGCAGTATGTCTGCACTGTGTGTGATAATGCAGAGTACTTTACTTTTGCAGTTTCCTCAGGAAAACCAGAATGTATTGTGTCATGTTAAGCATGACCCTCTCACGGCCACCCAAGTCAAATCTGCTGAAAGTCAGGCTATGCAGATGCCTTCACTTCATTTCCTTCCTCCTATGCCAGTTTCCTGACTTTCACAAGTATGACAAGTACAGATTTACAGACAAGTACCTCCTCACTGCCCTCCCGCTTGCTATGCAAACCTCCTCACTGAACCCAACTTGTCCAGAATCTGGACACAAAGGCAGCCTATAGAAACAATGAGGACTGGTTAGACTGTAAAGACTGCAGAACAACAGCAGCTCTTTTTCTTTTCCTCCACCCTAATTTCCCCCCTTAATAGCATTATTGCATTTTATAATGACAAATTAACATAAATTGAAACCCTTGCTAGTTAACCTGGACATAATACAGTTGCAAGAAACAAAATCCAATTACAAGGGGATGGACTGAGATCAGAATAAATCAGAATACCTGGCATATAAAGCTAGACACAGTAGCACAAAGGGCATTAGAAAAACAAAGAAAATAAGATGACATCAAAACTGAATACTGTTTAGCGGGCTCCTTCTCTCATCAAAGTCAATGGGAGTTTTGTCATTAATTTCAATTGGATCAGTGACAGACCTTTCATCATCATCATCATTCAAAAATGGTCGCTCAGAGCTGTTCTGAGCATTGGGCTTGATTCTATGCTGCATACCATCCACTCACAATACATTCATTTACAAAAAGGAAGTTGATGATTCCTGTCAAAATAATTGGGAATTGAGGCTGCCTGGGACATTCCAGGATCAGGGCTATTGCCTAGAAAAGTTTAAGAAATGATTTGAGGCTTGCCCAGAGGGGAAGTGCAAAGGGTTCTTTAAGCAGTCTTCATACAAATCTGTGATCCTGTGCCAATCCAATCAAAGTCAAGTCAAAGGCCTACCTAAGCCTAATGGTCCACTGGGGTTTTGTGCACAATGCACACCAGCTTCTGTAGCCAGTGGCAGAAAGTATCATATTCAGCTCCTATTGACACCCCAGGTCAAATGACCAGATACCCATTTACAGCTGCGTTGCCTGGACATAACCTTTGGCATAAGCCCAGAGTGAGGCAATCTGGAAACATAGCAGGACACCTTAACTACTCAGGCCCAGGAGTACATTAGAGCAGCTCGAGGACTGTTCCAATTTGTTTTGGCTGCCTGTGGGCTAAGAAGTCATCACAGAAGCTGAGATAGAAGGAACCTCCACTAGCCACCCCTGCTGTGCCAGAAGTATGGAGAGAGAAATGTCAAGGGTGCCACATTGTCTGTACACAAACTGAAGGGTGCCATTTGCTGGGGCAAAAATCCGATGGTCAGATGCAGTGTCCATAAAGCCAGAGTAACACTGGGGCAACAAAAAGTAACCCTCAGACAGCAGATATTTAGGACCATTAGTTTTGTCTATTTGCCACAAGAGATTGGACAATTGCTGCATTGGAAGAGGTGATGAAAAGGAGAGAAATGCATTCTTAATTCAGAATGACTTAAGGTTTGTAAAATAATCAATGAATGGAAAGTGCTTATTCAAGTCCCACTATTTTTTAATGTTCCTGAGACAGGATAGCTGTCACAAACAGTAGCATAACTAGGGTGGGACAACAGGGGCAACTGCCCTGGCTGCTGATGCAGATGAGAGGGTGAAAATATCAGCTTTTGCAACAGCTGAAGTTGTTGCTACTCCTGGGTGCAGCAGCTACCCTGGGCATCCTGCCACATTCTTATATTACTGGTCACAAATGGGGTACTTAGATAGATCACCTGAATATTATGAAGTAATTAAAACTTTCGTTTCTAGTGGTGTGCAGGAATCTGAGAGAAAACCATCATACAGTTCACCTCTGTCCTGTGTAGCTCTAGTGATTGAATTATATAATGTTTTTCATCACAATAAAGCAAAAACAGAAAGCCATCTGACATTATGGAAAAGATGTCCCTGTAAAGATCCTTCCCTTCTGTACCAAAAGAAAATGATTTAAAGAGACCAACTGGCACACCCATAGTTTTCAGACATTAAAATAAGTTAACAGAGGACATTTTTCAAATATAGTGCAGAAGACTGAATTTCCTAGTAGATACTCAGGTTTTGCCTAGTAAAAACTTGCCCATATGAGGGGATTTACATTGAAGAAAGGTTATTTGATGTAGCTACTTCATATTAATTATCAGGGGGTGCATCTAAATGTGCAATTAATGCAAAGCAATAAACTCCAGTACTTATTGCCCCAGAGTTTATTGCTCCCAGGTGCCCTTTTTGCAGCTGCACCTGGAACTGCAGCACACTGACTTAGGTGGAAGCAGCCCCAGCTGGCAGGGGGCCCTGGGAAACAATTTGCCAGCCTGGGGGCCAGCCTGCCAGCCTGGGGCTACTCCCTCCTGGCTCAATGTGCTGTGGAGCTGCCTGGGGCAAAAGGGCGCTCCCATGCCTGGTTAGAGGGCAGGCAGCCCCTGCACTGATGCACTCTCATGCCCCAGCCAGCCACAACAGTATCTACATGTGTGATGCTGCCTGCTGCAGAGTTTATTACTTTACTCCAGCCTAAGAGCTGTGCACATGCAGACACCGAGACATATACCGTTGGGCTAATCAGTCAACTTTGCAGTAAATGTCTTGTGTAGACGTGCCCAGGAAGTAGCTTTGTGAAAATAAACAGCCAACATGGACTTCACTACAAGTGAGTGCTGCCACGGAAGGTGGGGATTACCTCTGAAGTACGCACTGAGCATTATAAGCAAATATCTGACACTTCTTTGGTGCAGGCACAGTACCTTATAGCAGTGGTCTCCAAACTTTTTTGATCGCGCACCCCTATCAGTAAAAAGTTTTTGAGCACGCACCCCCAATATACATATATTTATTTATTTATAAATTATATACATGTACTACTGTACTAATATATTATGTACATTATAAAACATAGAAATTAAAAAGGATGAAATAAAGATGAAACAAAAACATTTTTAAAAAATATATATTTTTAATTTTATTCATTAATGGTACAAAAAACCTTTTTGCTCTCACTAAAAAAAATATTATTTAGTTTTTACCTTGTAATGTGGCTGACGAAGAGCTCGTACTAGGAGTAGGAGAAGTGTCAGCTCTGCCATTTTCTTGCTGTTTGCTTGTGCTCGCATTATTAGTATTATCTTCAGTCTACGGTTTCTTTGCAGGAATCTTTTTAAGCCACTTATCCATTTTGTGAGGGTTAGTTTAGTTAAAACTAGATAATATAATTCGTAAATCCACTTAATTGGGCGCACCTAAACTGCAATACGTCACAATATGCTGAAAGTGAATGAACGCTTCTTCCCTCAGGATACCTCACGTACCGTATGTGACACGTGACCGTCCGACATACGGACTGAGTGAGGGCACCAGTGTCGATCTGTATATTAAATATTAGTAAAGCTTAATTTCTTTCTTATTTTTTTAGATAAAAAATAATTAAAAATACAAGTTCTAATATTTTCTTCGCGCACCCCAATGGATCGTCTTGCACACCCCCCGGGGTGCACACACCCCACTTTGGAGACCACTGCCTTATAGGATTGTATCCATAGAGCATGGTGGTTTATCTGTTGGAAGCAAGCCAGATATTACCATGTTCTACTTCTCGCTGTCAAACTTTACAGATCCCATGATTCCTCTCTCACTGCCTCTTTTCAGGTAACAGGAACCATTTTTGATCTTTTAGCAGCCTGGAGTTAAATTTGATATAATTTAACAAAAATATGACTTTGTAGACCTAAAAGTGTAACTCATACAACCAGAGTGAGAGCAAACACTGAGAAAATTTGGAACATTGGGAACAGTGCAAACGGAGAGATTTATCTTGAAAGCTGGAGAGAGGAAAGGCTCACAGCCTTTCTAACTAGCTTTTCCACTTTGGGGCTCCTTGGGAAGCTTGGGGCTTTGTTAATATGGCAACAATGCAGTGTTTGTGTCAGAGAGGCTGAAGGAGCCATTTACTTTCTCAGGCTGGAAGAGGTTGAAGCAGGGGGTTTCTTAGGCAAATGCCGACTCCAAATAGGTTGACTACTCCAGTTGCTCTGGAAGTAGGGCTGGTGAACCTTCTGGCTGCTGCACACACTGCGGGAAGATTTTGGGAGAGGACATAAGAGGTAAATGGTGGCTTTGATGGAGTATGTTCCCCAACAATGCTTGTCTGTACATTGTCTCCAAGAGCTGCTGTTGCTGCCGTATCTCCGGGTCCACTTGTCTGCTCTGTCACAGTGAGGCTCTCTAGCTGTTTTCTTTCAGCTCTCAGGCCCAATCTAACCACTTTTCCACCAGTTTGCTTGACCCACAGTGCCTTGTTCCTTTGTCATGTGTTCCTCTTCTTTTTCCTATCTCTTTTTCTCTTCTTGCCTCAGAGATGCCCTCCATGTCTGACCTACCCTTCTGTGCTTCTCAGAGGTCTTTCAGTGCTTTCTGAACATCTCTCCTTCGGTTGTCTTGTTAACTCTCATGTTCACCAAGTGCTGGGTGGTGGTTAATGCCAATTTCTTTGAGAATGCTGTTGGTGTGGAACATGTGAGACAAGAAAAATAACAAGAAGTTTTTGTTCATTGCTCAGTTTCCACGGTAACAAAAACAATGTTTTTCTTCACCCTTTCAAAAGATTCTTCCCATTCTTGGGAAATTCTCTTGTTTTTTGGGATCACAATGCATGGAAGTAGAAGGCAGTGTAGTTTTGTACCTTATAGACTAAGGAAAGTGTGTGTGTGCATGTGGCAGAAGGCCACCTCTGTTTCTCCCCAATTTGGTTAGGATGGGCCCAGCAGAGGATACA